CAGTTCAAACCCACCAGCCACTCTGCTTCTGAAAAGATTGACAGCTTTGGAAACCCTCAGGGGCAGTTCCACTCTGTCCTCTAGGGGCGCTGTGAGTCAGAATGGACTCCATTCAGTGCCTGTGATTTGGGTTTTGCTTCCCTGAAGATTGACAGCCTTGGAGACCCTGTGGGGCAGTTCTGCTCTGTCCTCCAGGGGTTCTGGGAGCTGTAATTGACTTGATGGCAGGGGATAAAGAGACATAATACTCAAACGCAACACATGATCCTTAATATCAAACAAACAAACAAACCGTGAAAAGCATTTTTGAAGTGATTGGGGAAGTTTGAGTATGGGCTATATATTAGATACTATTTTTGTGTCAGTGTTAGAGATCTTGAGACTGAGACCTTAACAGTGCTTGCTGGTGGTTTCCTAGGATTTGTTATTAGGTGCCATTGAGTCATCTCTGACTCAGTGACCCTATGGACAGCAGAACAAAACACCGCCCAGTCCTGTGTCAGCCTCACGATCCTTGCTATACCTGAGCCCATCACTGCAGCCACTGTGTCAGTCCATCGCATTGAGGGCCTTCCCCTTTTTTGCTGACCGTCCACCTTACCAAGCATGATATCACTCTCCAGGGAATGGCCCCTTCTGACAACATGACCAAAGTAGGTGAGACAAAGTCCGGCCATTCTTGCTTCCAAGAAGCATTCTGGCTGTGCTTCTTCCAGGACAGATGTGTTAGTTCTTCTGGCAGTCATGGGACTTTCAGCATTCTTCTCCAACATCACAACTCAAAAGCATCAATTCTTCTTCAGTCTTCCTTGTGTCTGGCTCTCACATGCATATGAGGCAATTGAAAATACCATGGCTTGGGTTAGGCGCATCTTAGTCTTCAAGGAGACATCTCTGCTCTTCAGCACTTGAAAGAGATCTTTTGCAGTAGAGTTGAAATCCAAGTAATATGAAATCTTTAACAACTAAAATCTTTTCTCCATTTTTTGTGATGCTGCTTATTGGTCCTGTTGTGAGGATTTTTTGTTTTCTTTACACTGAGGTGCAATCCATACAGCAGACTGTATAGTCTTTGATCCTCATCAGTGAGTGCTTTGTGTCGTCTTTGTATCACAGGTTGTTAATGAACCTTCCTCCAATCCTGATGCCACATTCTTCTTCATATAGCCCAGCTTCTCAGATTATTTGCTCAGCATACAGATTGAAATGTGGAAAGGGTACAACCCTGATGCATTCCCTTACTGATTGTAAACCATGAAGTATCCCCTCGTTCTGTTTGAACGACATCCTCCTGGTCTGTGTACAGGTTCCTGATGAGCACAATCAACTGTTCTGGAATTCTTGTTCTTCTCAATGTTATCCATAATTTGTTATGATCCACACCATCAAATGCTTTTGTGTAGTCAATAAAACACATCTTTCTGGTATTCTTTGCTTTCAGCCAAGATCCATCTGACATCAGCAATGATATCCTTTGTTCCACATCCTCTTCCGAATTCAGCTTACAGTTCTGAAAGTTCTCTGTCAATATACTGCTGCAACCATTTTTGAATTCTCTTCAGCAAGATTTTACTTGTGTGTGATATTAATGGGAGGTCTGGTGGCATAGTGCCTAAAGCACTTGACTGCTAACCAGCAGGCTGACGGTTCAAACCCACAAGCCACTCCTTGGAAGGAGGGTTGGGCAATCTACTTCCATAGTGTTAATGCCTCGGAAACCCAACGTAGGGTCACTGTGAGTTGGATCCGACTCGATGGCAGTGGGTTTGTTTTTTTTGGTTTGTGATATTAATGATACTGCTCTATAATTTCCACATTCTGTGGGATCGCCTTTCTTTGGAATGAGTACAGATATGGATCTTTTCCAATCAGTTGGCCAAGTAGCTGTCTTCCACATTTCTTGGCATAGACAAGTGTGTGCCTCCAGTGCGGCATTCGTTTGTTGAAACATCTCAATGGGTAGCCCGTCAATTCCTAGGAGAGGCCCTTTCTTCTTCTTTTTCTTAAATACATTTTATTGAAATATAATTTATGTCCAGTGAAAGACACAAAACTAAAGTGACAAGAGTCAATGCATTTTGGCCCTTTATTCTTAAGAGATGCCGACTAAAGCATTTAGATGCCGAGTGTCAGGATGTCTGCAACTTACTTTTAAATGGGTTGACAAAATACACACTATGTATACATAGATACGGATAGGTATAGAGGTAGGCTGGTGGTGCAGTGGTTAAGACATTCGGCTGCTAACCAAAGTGTCGGCAGTTCAAACCCAACAGTTCAAATTCAGCTTTCTATTAGGAGCTCTGGTAGTGCAGTGCCTAAGGCACTTGACTGCTAACCAGACAGCTGGCAGTTCAAACCCACCAGCTACTCCTCAGAAGGAAGACTGGGCAATCTACTTCTGTAGTGATACTGCCTCAGAAACCCAAGGAGGGGTCGCTATGAGTCGGGTCCCACTCCACAGCATATAACAACAACATGAAGATTGACAGCCTTGGAAACCCTCTGAGGCAGTTCCACTCTGTCCTCTAGGGGCGCTATGAGTCAGAATCGACTCCACAGCAGTGGGTGTGGTTTGGGCTTCATTTCCGTGAAGATTGACAGCTTTGGAAACCCTGTGGTGCAGTTCCACTCTGTCCTCTAGGGGCGCTATGAGTCAGAATGGACTCCAAGGCAGTGGGTGTGGTTTAGAGGTAAAGCCAAAACAGCAAACTGCAAACAATTGGTGAGCCGATGGGGAGGGCCTATGGGTTCATGTTCTTTTCCTCTTTATGTAGGCTTGAAATTCATCAGTATGAAAAGTATGGGGAAAAGAAATATTTTAAAAATTGGAAAACTCTGTCTTTTGGCACATTATTGCTGGACTCGGGAGATCGCCATTTCTCCGTTTTGGTGAGAGATGGCTGGAGACATTTAGCTTGCCAGAGGCCTGAGCACCCCACTGTCAGCCCAGGGCCCCATCTTTGGGCCTCACAGAGGGCACATTTCTGTTGACCTCACCAAAAGCCCCATGAGATGGCCTTTATGGTCCCCATTTATAGATGGGGAAACCGAGGCTCAGAGAACAGATAACTTGCTGAACCGCTGGAGTGCAGGTTATCTGATTCTCAGGCTTGGGCTCCCAACCAGGCCCTGGAATTCTCTGGGCACTCTCTAGCCCTCCACCCTCACCCAGATGCTGGCACCTGGGCGCCTTCGGGGTAACTTGCCCAGCTTTAGGGCCGCCTTCTGAGCCCCACACTTCTTCCCATCCATTTCAACCTCACGGCCTGGGTCCTGCCCCAACCGGGTCTTCCCTCTCCCTTCCCCTCCCTGCTCGCAGCCTGCCCTGGTGAGGCAGCAGGGGCCTGAGTACTCCGGCTGTGCCCCTCCACGTCCACTCCTGCCTTTCTCCTCCTGGGTCTCTGCCCCCAAGGCCGCCCTCTAAGATCATGACTGGGCTCTCGGGTCCTCCGGCTGCTGGATGACTTTGGACGAAGGGAGACGGAGGACTGACCTCCCTGGTTGCCTTCTTACTCAGCATGGGCAAGTTCTTTTACCAGAAGCCACAGCTCGGGTCACGCCACTGCCTCCCCCTGCCTGGGTGCCTGGGGGTAACAGTTCCCCAGTGCTGTGAGGACTCTGGGACACCCTGCTCCCTGGCCACAATTTTGCAAACCGTCCCTTGGTTGAGCTTTTCCCCACTTGTCAGATTTGGGTTCGTCTTCTGATTCCTGAAAACACAGGGAAGGAGACCTGGTCTTTTTCTGCCCCAGACAGCCTCACCCCTCCTTTCAAGGTCCCAGATAGCCCCGCCTCTCCCTTCTCCCCGAAATTCCCTTGTTTTCTGACCCCCGGGAGGACAGATCCAGACAGGGAGCCCAGTAGCTTACAAAGTTCTTTATTGGTTTCTTGTTGTGTCCTGGTGCATCGGATCGATCCCACCCAGGAAATGTGGCATTTGAGGAGATAAATACTTATTTTGTCCCCCACACTCAGTAGGGAGAGGTTTAATAAAAATAGTAATATAATAACAGCAATGACTGTGATCAGTAATAAAATGCCCCCTATGTCCCCTAATACACAGTTGGTTCAAACTTTGAGAAAAAGATGACCCCTTCCTGGCAAGGCCAGAGTGTGCTCTCCCCACCGCCAAGGAGCCTTATAAATACCCCCATCTCATCCCATCCCATCCCTGCCTAGGAATATCTTCACCTGGGGCGGACTGGGTGACATCAGTGTTCCACTCACAGAGCCCCTTCCCAGGTCCCAGCCTCCTGGAGCTCCTTCCTCCTGGGAAGGACTTCCTCCCAGAACTTCTCCCCTCCATCCCTCTCTGTTGCCTTCCTCCCAGAACCTCTCCCCTCCATCCCTCTCTGTTGCCTTCCTCCCAGAACCTCTCCCCTGCACCCCTCTGTGGCCTCCTCCTCTCCATCACCTTTCTCTCTCTCTCCTCCCAGCACTGCTCCCAGCCCCTCCCACTCCCTCCTCTCCACCTCCCCCTGCACTTCCTTCACCTCTCTCCCCTCCTTCACCTGCTTCTCCCCTCCTCTCCAGCCTCCTTTCTTCTGGACCAGCATCTGTCTTTCCCACCCTGACCCCACACACAGACCTGCCTTCCTCTGGCCTCAGCAAGAGGCCTGATAGTAGCAGACAGGTCCGCAGACCCGCCCCAAGGCTCAGGCCTTCTCCCTCCTTCCCCCTGACTCTGGGGCACTGGAAATGACAGCTTTGGCACAGTCACCCCTGGGGACCAGGGCTGAGGGCCCCCAGAGCAGAGGGGACCATCCTAATCCCAGTGACCAGCACAGGGACCAGAGGAGAAAGGTGAGGTGAGGGCTGGGAGTCGGGACCTCTGGGTCATGGGAACCCAGGCAAGACTCCCGCTACTGCCCAGCCCAGGCCTTCCCTGAGTCTGAATTCCAACATATCCGGACCCGCCGGAGTACGGCATTGCCTCGAGCTCTCGGCCCCCACACATCTTTCTGTCCTGGGACTAGGGTGGGCCCTGCCGGAGGGCATCAAGGGGTGCTCTCTGAATCAGGGGCTGGAGGGAGGCTCCTGGGCCGCTCTGAGACCTGGAAGGGAAAGACAAGGCAGTCAGGGTGGGAAGAGGCAGGCAGCACTCGTTGCTCACCAGGCCAGTGCCTTCCAGGAACTTCCGCAGGACCCAGCACCTGCTCCAGCAGGGCTCTTATTAGCAGGGGAACTCTCACTTAACTCTGGAGCCCAACTCAAGTCCCTCTGTTCCTTCACTCCGTCCTGCATTCAGTCAGCAAACATGCTACACTCTGGGCAGAAGAGAGAGGCCAGAACTCCACCACCAAGAAGCACACAGTCAGGGAAGGAAGATAGGCATCCAGCCAGTCAGCCACACCACAGCAGGCACCACAAGGACCCCCAGAAGTCCAAGAAAAGCTGTGATCACCAGACCAGGCCAACAGGAGGGCTTCTCTGTGGGTGATCATTGGTGTGGTGCCTTGAGGGAGGTGTGGACATTGATCGGGCTGAGGATGAGAAAGACTTTCAAAGCAGGGCCAAGAGCAGGGGCAAGAGCCTGAAGGTGTGAAAGAACATGGCCCTTCTAGATGCAACAATGGGTCTCTCGTCATCCAGAGCAAAAAAACAATGGAGAACACCAAAGACATGGAGACAATTAGTCCAAAGGGACCAGTGGACCGTGTACTCCTCGGCCTACATGACCCTGAGACCAGAAGAACTAGATGGTGCCCAGCTACCACTGTCAACCACTGGAAAAGGGATCAGTGCAAGAGATCCTGGATAGAGTGGGAGAACAATGTGGGACAAAACTCAAAATCACAGAAAACCAGGTTGGCTGGTCTGACAGAGGCTGTTGAGACCCCTGAGACTATGGCCCCTAGTTACCCTTCAGGTTTGGAATTGAACTCACTCATTCCTGTGGCTTCCAGCCAAACAACAGACAGGCATATGGAATGAATCAGATAGATGAGTGAATCAGATAGATATACCCCTTAGGACAATCAATCATGGGAAAACATAAGGGCAGTATTTTCACAGGGAGACAGCTCGCGGGGAGAAGGGATGCATAGCAATAGAGGACACAGGGAAAAGGTAACTATGGGGAGGAAGTGGGAAGAGAGCTGTTACATTGTGGGGAATTGTAGTCAATATCATGAAACAAAATGTGTATGAACTACTGTATGGAAAATGAATGTGCTCTGTAAACTTTCATCCAAATCACAATTAAAATTGAAAAAAAAAAAAAAATGGGGCAAGTCTCGGGGCTGAGCGGCCTGGTGTGATAAGAAAAGATGTGTCTGTGTGGGGAAGTGGGCATGTGACTGGAGGGTAGGTGGGCACCTTCCCAGGTCCTCTTAGGCTTGTCCGGATCCCCTCTGCACACGATCTGGGACTCTGTTGTTCTTGGTTGATTGCAACTCACAGCCACGTGTGCAGAGTAGAGCCACTCCCAAGAATTTCTAAGGCCATGACCTTTTGGAAAGGGGATCACCAGCAGGCCTGTCTTCCAAGGTACTTCTGGGTAGGTTTGAACTGCCAACCTTTTGGCTAGTAGTCAAGCACTTAACTGTGTCTCTCAGGGACTTCTCGGGCCTCTGTCAGGGATCCCAAGAGAGGTCCATGGCTCAAGCTCTCCCATGTGCTAGGGCCTATGTTGGGCCCTTCCCCGGTATCATCACCTCATACAGGTGATAATAGCCTCATTTTACTGAGGAGACAAGCTCAGGGCAGTTAGGAACCTTGCCCAGGGCCACACAGCTGGGACATTAGAGTCAGCCTGCCACCAGGCCTCTACTGGGGCCCACTGATGTGTGAGACAGAGTGACCAATGGCAGGGATGGGCTCGGCTTACTTGGTCCCTGGCCTCCAGTTCCATGCACCACCTACAGAAGTGCCCCACCTTTGGATCGGGGAGGGGCAGCCCCCACGACTCACCTGCATTAGTGAGGCTGCAGGGCTCAGCGACCCCTGGGGGCAGGACACAGACTCACTGGACAGAGATGTCCGAGGTTTCCTCTTCACTGCTGCAAGAGCAAAAGAGGGGATAGAACACCACCATCGGGGCTTGAGGGGCCCAAGGGGATGGGGTCTGGAGAGGGGTATGGAGGTACTGAGCGCCTGGGGCTGCCCTTACTGGGGTCCACGGTTCCAGCGAGGGCATCGCTCCCCATGGAGGCTGGGCGACGCGAGGCCTCAGAGAAACTGTGGGGCCGCTGCGGGCCGGATTTCCGGGCACCTCGGCTCTTCTCTTCTGGAGCCTGTAGTGGAACAGCGTGGAGGGGCTGGAATGGGCAGCCAGGCGCAGGTGAGGAGAGGATGACACACGCCAAGGGAAATAAATGCCATAGGGCCCCTGGCTTGGATGTGCACTGGGCCCAAGTACCAGCTATAAATCATCTGCCAAGGGCCAGGTAATCGCAGAGGCCTGCGATTGGCGCAAACGCACCAGAGTGGCCTATGATTGGCTCAGTCTCACCAAGGAAGCTTGTGATTGGCTAGAGCTCACTAAAGCGTCCTGTGATTAGCTTTGAATTACTCACCCGGGGCAGGTCCCTGGCACTGGGCCTCCCATCGGTGGGGCCCACATGCACCAGGTGATTGAAGTTGGTGGGCGATGAGATGAGCTTGGAACGCACGAAGGGATCCTTCAGCAGCTCCCTGCAGATAGGAGATAGATAGGCAGATGGGAGCGTGTGTCAGGGGCAGTGAAGGGGGCAGTTCTGCCTTCACCCAACTGCCGTGAGCTCCGCCTCGCCTCCAGCGTAGGAGGCGGCTCCCAGACCAAGTCCCCACCTCGCGCGTGCGCACCTGCGCTGCTGCTGCCTTTGCTCCTCAGACACGCGGAAGAAAAAGCGGCGCTTGCTCTTTGTGCGGACCAGCTGGCGCCGGCTGTTGTCAGTGAGGTCGGGGATGTCAAACTCGTCCTTCTCTGTGGGAGGAGCACAGCTGGGTGGTGCTCCCAAGTCCCCGGGGCCCCAGTCAGCTGGTGCTCATGGTCGCCCCGGCTACATGTGTGCACAGGTGAACGGACATGGGGGAGGGTGACAGTCACTTGCACACGCGTACACACTCCCTTACCTGCCAGCCGGTTCCTGAGGTAAGTCAGGCGGACCTTCTCGGTGCCATAGAGGAATAAGGAGCCCTCTGGGTTCAGCGGTCGTACCTGAGGCGTCAGGCACAGAGGTCGTGTCATGCATGCCACGGCACTGCACTCCGACCCCAGTCCGGCCCAGGGCCGGGGGAGCCCCTCACCTTCTTGAACGGCACGGTCTGGACCCATTCTGCCTTCCTCACGTCAAACACATCGAGGGAGTTTTCACTGAACACTGTCAGGTAGGGGGCTGCGTAACCTGCAGGGCGGGAAACTGCCTGTGCTGTGCAGCCTTGGGGAAGCCAGGCACCTCTCTGAGCCTGTTTCCTTCTCTGCACAGCATAGGACCTTCCTGGTCTTCCTCTGAGGTCAGCCCAGCTGCACATCACAGATGAGAATCCTGCAGTGCTCAGTGCATGCATGGCGCCTTCCTGTCCCTCAAACAGCTGAGTAGGTACCATTATCACCTCTAACTTACAGATGAGGAAGTGGAAAATTTGGAGCTCAGAGATGGCCAGACGCACCCAGCAGGTGAGCGAGAACTGGAACTGGACCCAACAGTCCGGGGCCCTGGCCCAAAGGCCCCACCCAGGAAGAGCTGTAGTTTATAATGGAAATACCATCACGCTTTTGCAGGACTTAGCCCATCGTGCCAGGTGCTGGTGAATGCCAGCCCGCCCCTCACACCATTCACTCACTCACTCACGCATTCATTCTCCAGACATGCAGAGCTCCTGGCTGTGCCTGCCCTGTGCCGGGTGCTGGACGGGGATGAAGAAAACAACCCTGTCCACGTGCAGGCCCCAGTGCACCGACTGCATCATTACAGTGGAAGGAAGGAAAGACCAGGACGGGTGGGAACAGAGGGGCAGGGCAAGAAAAGGAGGCAGAGCCCAAAGATGGGGGAGGGTGGGGCAGGGAGGACTGAAGCAGCAAGGACAGCGACAGAAACCATGGTCCTTAGGGACCGAGGGCCTCCCAGCTCCAGGCCAAGCTGACATTGGAGCAGGACTTGGTTAAGGTTCGCCAGGTACACAAGGAACAGTTCCAGAAGGGGCAACAGCATGAGCTGAGGCAGGGAAGAGGAGGGTACCAAGCTAGCAGCTGAGGGGCATCCGGGGCCAGGGTGTGGAGAGCCTCGGGTGCCAAGCTTAGGAGCCTAGGTGGGACTCTGCTTTGCTCTGCCAAGTGGCGTGCATGGTAGGTACCTAGAGACCAGCCTTCCCTTCACCAGGGCTTACCCCAGCCCGTGGGGGCTGCTGGCCACAGCAGTTCGTGGCCGCGAGACTTGCGGCCAGCGCTGTCCACGTAGACACCGGCAGTGGTGAAGAGCAGCAGGAACTCACTGAGGCTGAGCTCCACGGCCCCCAGCGCCTCGCCCAGGCCCCCGCGGGACGGCGGCAGCTCCTCGGGCACTAGCCCGGCCCCCAGTGCTAAGGGCGCAGCCTCGTTGAGCAGGGGGTAGAGGGTGAAGGCTCCGGCCGTGCCCACGCACAGCCGGTCGCCCAGCAGCCCCAGACTCTGCACAGGTGCAAGTGCCTGCAGCTCCCGGATGCGGTGCTGCCAGGGCCCCGGGCCGGGCCCCAGCTGGTAGCAGAGCACCTGGCGCTTGACGGCCACGCAGAGCACGGGGGTGCGGGCCTGCAGGATGTTCCCGGCGGCCAGTGCCTGGCAGCCTCGCGACTCGGGGATCTTGGCGCCCGTGGCCTCAGCACTCTCCAGCTCAGCCAAGGGGAAGAGGCGCACGCTGGGGCCACGGCCACACAGGACCACCAGTAGGCCCGCGGTGGGGCTGACAGCCAGCTGCTGTACCCGCCTGCACTCGCCCACCTGGAAGATGTCTGCAGGGTGGTTGATGGCAGGGTGTCACCGGCTGGTGGGTGAGGAGCAGCCCCGTCCTGTCCCCTGGAGCCAACCCACACCCACACCCCCCCCTGGCCCACGGGGACAGGTACCATTGCTGTGCAGGTGGATCACGAACAGCCCCTCCTCTGTACCTAGAGCAAGCCGCTCCTGGTCTGGGAGAGGGTCAGAGGTCAGAGGGCCTGCCACTAGCAGAGAGCCCGGGCATATCGAAGGGACTGGGCTCTTGAAGAAATAGGGATGGTGATCCCACTGTCCTTACCACCCTGGACCCTTTTCTCTCTGTCTGGACCAGCTTTAATGGGGATAGGGCCATGGGGACAGGGGCTGGGGTCAAAGACCCACCACCTTCAGCTGTGGATTTGGAGTAAGTCAGTTGCCCTCTCTGAGCCCGTTTCCCCTTGTGTAATGGGGACAGTAATGGTACTTTTGTTACAGAGCTACCATGAGGAAGAGATGAAGCAAAGTAGGTTATGTTAAGCAGATTTCTAGTTCACAGCTCTCCCTGCTCTGCAAGTGTCCTCCTCCCGTCTGGCTCTGGCTGACCCAGGGGACCCACAGTCTCTCCTGTGGCTCCACCTTGATGGCCTGCAGGGAGAGGCCCCAGCTCCCTGATAGCAAGGCTAGGTCAGGGCCTCAGCTGTCAGGGGAAGCCAAGGAACAGGCCCTAGCCCTTCTTTGCTAGCTGTCAATTACAGAAGCCCCACTGAACGCAGTGAACTTTGTGGCAGCCGCCCTGTGCCAGACGGAAGAAACCAAACCCAACCCAGTGCCATGGAGCTGATTCTGACCCATGGAGACCTCACGTGTTACATGGTATGACTGCTCCACAGGCTTTTCTTGGTAAAAGTCTTTACAGAAGCAGGACTTCCTTCCGTGATGCCACTGGGTGGGTTTAACCCACTGCCCTTTAGGATAGTAGCTGAGCGCAAATTGTTTGCATGACCCTGGGAGCCACAAAGTCAAATAAACAATAACCACAAAAAACCTACTGCCATTGGGTTCTGACTCATAGTGACTCTCACTGGGTTTCCAAGGTGGTAAATCTTTACAGAAGTAGATTGGGTCATCTTCCTTTTGCAGAGTTGGGTTTGAACCACCAGCCTTCTGGTTAGCAGTCAAATGCCTTAGGCACTGCACCACCAGAGCTCCTTGCCAGACACCTGTCCTTCCTGGGACCTCAGAATGTGACCTTATTGGGAAATAGGGTCATGGCAGATTTAATTAGTGAAGATGAGGTCATAGTGGAGCAGGCTGGGCCATCAGTCCAATGACTGGTGTCCTTCTCAGAAGCAGACAGACACAGATGTGGGGAGAACACCACGTGACAATAGAGGCAGAGATCAGAGCGATGTGTCTGAAAGCCAAGGGGCACCAGAGCTTGCTCAAAGAAAAGCAGAGAACAGATTCTTCCCCCAAAAGCCCTTCCCTGCAACACCTTGCATTCAGACTTCTAGCCTCCAGAACTGGGAGGGGAGTTTCTGTCTTAAGCCACCCAGTGGCTTAAGGAACCTGCAACCTGCTGCAACAGCCATAGGTACTAACACCCACCACAGGAGATGGCAGGAGGCCCTGAGTGGTCACATGGCTGCACACAGCCACCCAGCTAGCAGTAGGAGTGCCGGGACCAGAAGCTCGTGTGTCTGTTTTTAACACCTTTGCTCCTTCCACTTGTCTCTTAGGACAGGGAGAAACTAAGGCACAGAGAAACAGCATGATGAGAAGTCAGGCCCAGGGCTCCTCACACAGGAGGGTCATGGGGGACACATGTGGGCAGACAGGCCACAGGCTGCTGATGATAGCTGCAGGGACCGGACAGCAGTGGTGAGCCACGTGACTGCCTTACGGACTCACCAACGATGGCTGCGCAGAGCGTGTGGGGCAGCAGCGGGAGCCCATTGTCGTAGGCTTCCTTGAGGGTGTACACGGGCCGGGGCCGGGGCCGCATGTCCTGAAGCAGCCGCTGCAGCTCGCCCAGCACCTGCAGCCAGCGCTCCCGCTCCCCCTCGCTCTCCGCCAGCAGCAGCACGGTGCACGTGGTGGGCGGCACCGCCAGCTGGGAGGCCGTCACCTGTGGGCAGGGACCCGGACTGGAGGGGCTGGGGGCAAGGGACCGGGCCCAGGGCCAACCAGCCAGCCTTCCCCCTTCCCACCAGGTGCTGTGCACTAACACCTGTTGTGTGCGAGAGAGAGGACTAGGCGTAGCCGAACAAGAGCTTATAAGCCAGACGGGGGAGTTGGACAAGCACACAGACGGTTTTAGAAACCCACAGGCAGTGCCATGATAGGGAAGGAGGGAACATTGTGGGAATACAAGGGAGGGCCTCCTAACCCAGGCCAGGGAGTCCAGGAAGACTGCCTGGGCAAGAGACCTGGAGCCTGAGGGACCAGGACTGAGTCAAGGTGGATGAGGGGCTGGAGGGCCGGCTGGGGGTGGGGAGGGAATGGTAATTCCAGGCAGAGGGAATAGAACGTGCAAAGGTCAAGAGGCGAGGCCTGTATAGCACAGCTGGCACAGAGGTGCCAGGGGCAAGCTGGGGAGGTCTGCAGGGCTCTGAGGCTCAGAGCCTCCTAACTGGGCAGGGCATGGCCAGAGTCACTTGTGGAAAGCTCACTGCGGCTGTAGGGTGGGCAGTAGATGCAGATGCCACAATAGAAGCTACTGTCACCATCCATGCAAAGGGTGAGGTGGCAGGGGCTGGAAGAAAGTGGCCAAGGTAGGGACGGCAGGGGGAGAGGAGGAAGTCCGGCCGGCCCGCCCAGGCACTCACCCTAAAGATGCGTGGCAGGTCCCTGGATTGGGCGTGGATAACATCAGAGGGCAGGACGGGGGTGGCCGAGAACTGGGGGTCCCTGGGATGTCCATGGAGCAGGTCAGAGGCCGCACTGTCCCGACCATGTCCCTCACCCAACAGTCATGCCCCGTGCCACTGCCTGGCACCCACCTCAGATCCAGTGCCTGCAGGAGGGCCCCGCTGGCCGGGCTGAGCCGCGGGTCGGGGGCATCGAACAGCAGCAGGCGAGAGTCACTCAGGGCAGCAAAGACCCGCTGCCAGCCACGTCTGACGCCCGAGGGCCGGGGCACCTGGGGAGAGGCGGGTGTGGTGGGGCCCTTGTCGGCACTCGGCCCCCACCTGTCTCCGTCTGGCTGCCCAGCTCACCGACAGGTAGCCCTCATAGGCGGTGCCCGTGCCTGTCTCAGGGTGCACCCCCAGGGCCGTGCGAAGGAGGTCAGGGGGCACGGGACAGAGTGGGGCCTGGGGCGCACACGTCGAGTGGCAGAAGTAGCCACAGGCTGTGGGGAGAGGTGAGAATAGATGGTGTGAACGCCAGAACTCCCACCCAGCCTCCCTGAGGCCCTGGTGAACCAGAACCAATTCCCCATCAGGACAAAAGAGACCTGCGCGGGAGAGGTAGCTCCAGAGGTGCTGTGACCCCGGAGTGAGAGAAGTAGCCTGGCCGTCAGGCTAGGGATAGGGAGCCCCTGTGCCCCACACGTTTCCCTCCACCGAGGGGATGCAAGCTCTCACCGTCACAGCCCAGACCCTGGCGGCCCAGGCCGAGCATCAACGAGGTGCAGCGGAGACACTTGGTGGGGGAGGGGAAGGTCCGGGGACGCAGCAGGTGTGAGCCGGGCTGGGGAGGATAGGACATCCTGTCACCCCAAGCCTGACCGCGGCCTCCCCAGGCCCCACACCCATCCCTGAGGTGGCTCAGGTGTCAAGGGGGTGCTGGGAGCTCAAAGCTGGGCCGGGGGCCTGGCAGTGAGTGCTCAAACTCATCAGCACTATGAGCACCCCTACTCTGCCCATGCTGGAGAGGGCCCCTGGAGGACAAAGGCATTTTTGTCCATCCAGGTTCTTGGAAGCCTGGCAGAACATTCCGGCTCCTCAGGGCACTGACCTTAGCAGGAGGGCTGTCTGCAGGGGCTGCAGTGGCGGGAGGTACCCTGGGGAACACAGCCTGCAGAGGGAGGGGAGACAGCTGAGGAGGTGTGCTAGGGGCTGTGGGGCCTGGCCCTCACTCCGGGGCTTCCGTCTGTCTCACCCCCATGTGCAGGCTGCGGCGGCCCTCCGGCCTCAGCTCTGGCTCCAGCCCCGGCCTCGGAGCCTCTCCCGAGATGCCGGAGTCCTTGGCGGAATCCTTCTGGGGACGGAGGGTGGGGTGGGGGGCAACGTTAAGGCCCCAAGCCACTGTCCCGACACCCTATCCCGGCACTTCCCTGGTTCTTACCTCCGAGCTCCAGAAGGACAGGAAGGGAAGCAAGGAGCTTGATGGCTTGGTGTCTGGAAACAGAGGCAGGGTCGTGGGGTGGGGTCCTGAGGAACCAGGTAACCCCGGTTACCACCTCAGATAGGGAAGCGGCCACAGACTGTGATGGGGTCTGGACAAGCCGGGTGCTCAGTGAGCACTGGGGACAGATAACAGTGAGGAATGGCAGGGTCCCGGAGTGAACTCCTGCCTCTGCAGCCCCTAAACCTGCTGAGGGACCCCTCAGTGGTGACTGTGAGCACTGAGCAGAGGGCTCCCCCCAGGAAGGCATTCCGATGGCCACTCACCCCCTGGCCCGCGGGCCTGCAACTCCTCGCGCAGCATGACCAGCTCCTGCTGCAGGTCCTGGTTCTGCTTCTCGGCCTCCTGCAGACGGCTGGGGAGGGACAGGGCAGGCTTACCACGGGGCCGTGTGTGCCCCCACAGGCCTCTCCCCGGAGCCCGGGCCCCTGGGCCACACCTGCCCCGGCCTCACCGCTCGGCCCGCAGCTGGGCCTCCTGCACCTGCGTCAGCTGCTCCTGCAGGCCCTGCTTGGCGCGGATCTCAGCCTCCAGTGCCGACTGCAGCTCCAGCCGGGCCGAGGCCTCCGTCTTCTGTAGCCGCCGTGCCTTCCACTGGTGGTCCTGGGGGGCACCCACGTAAGACGCCCTCTACCAGAGCATGCCATCGTCCAGGCTCAAGGTCCTAGCTCGGCTACCGACATGCCGTGAGCTCGGAGCTTAGAGTCTCATCCCCCACCTGCCGGACAAGGCTCCTGTGGCCCCAGGGTGGTTCTGGGCTCACCAGTGGCCGGGCAGGGAGCGTCTGAGTGCCCACGTTCCGCAAGGACTCCAGCTCTTCGGCCATCTTGGTGGCCAAGGCCTGCAGGTAGCCCCTTGAGACCTTCTCATCATTTACCCTGGTTGGGAGAGGGCTCAGGGTCACGGGCTCAGCCCTCAGCCCCACCCGGGCCCGGCCTGGCCCGACCCATCCCAGCGGGCACCCACCAGCTGAGGATGTCGGCGATCTGGGCCTCCCAGTTGTTCTCTGTCTCCCGCCGCTCCCCTTCCAGACGCTGCTTACTCTGCTGTTCCCGCTGCAGCTCTGCCGCCAGCTGGGGGCGGGAAGGTGGGTCAGCCCCCAGGAGCCCCCCCGCAACCCTGTCCCCCATCTGTCCACCCAGCATCCCTGGCCCCAGCCCTGTTCACCCTGGCTCCCCCACTACAGCTCGTCCACCAGCTGTGAGCCACGGCGGGGAACCAGCTAGCCCCAGGGCCTGGCAGCTGTGACCACCCTCCTGGCTGACTGCCCGCCTCTGCACTGTGATCTGTCTGTCTGTCTGTCCGTGCTGCCCTGCGTGTGCCCCTGCTTACCCGCTCCTGCTCGCGGCTCAGCCACTGGTTCTCTTCCTGGAGCCGGGACAGGGCCTCCTGCTTCCCATTCAGCCTGGAGAGGGAAGGGCTGACGGGGTGAGTCCAGCCCCAGGCCCCGGCCCCGGCCTGCCCTCGCGGGCCACCTGGCTCACCCCTGACTGCAGGCCTGCTCCAGCTGCACGCGCAGGGCAGCCACCTCCTTCCGAAGCTCGGCTTCCCGCGGCCCCCCGCCAGGAGGTCCTGTGCCATTGGTCTCAGAGGGTGTGTGGATGACCTTGAAGACAGGGAGAAGGGTCAAGGTCTGCAGGTCTCAGGGCTCCGCCTCTTGGCAAGGGGGCGTGGCCTCACTACCTTGACCTGGGAGGACGCCTTCTCCAGGCTCTGCTGGCACTGACTCTGCAGCCGAGTCACCTCCTGGCTCAAGGTGGTCAGCTGGACCTCCAGCTGTGAGGGAGTGAGAGACAGGCCATGCTGGCTGTGCCCACCCTGGCTCCTCTTCCCACTTAGGTTAGACCCTCAGGCTGGGCTAGCCAGGGCGTGAGTGAGGAGGCAGCTGACCGGTCAGTCCTAAAGCCCTTCCCTTCACTCAGGCCTCAGCCAGCCACAGCAGGGGTGCAAAGCGTGTGGTATGCCCAGCACCTCCCGCCAGACTCCCCAGGCTTCCTCTGAACGCCATCAAGATTGCCAGGCAGGGCCTCCCGCTTCTCCATCCACTTCTCCCAGCACCCACCGCGCTCCGGGCAGCCTGGGCTGCCTCCAGCTGGGAGCTCAGGGCCTGGGTCTGGCTGGCCGTGGCCGCCTCCCTCTCCTGGGCCTCTTGCAGCCTCTGGAGCAGCTCCTCCTGCCGTCCGTGGGCCTGGCCCAGCTCCTGTGCCAGCACCTGCAGCCCCGTCTGTGCCTCGGCCAGCTCCTGGGAGCCCGGGGTGAGAGCAAGGCCCGGGTCAGCACACAGACGGCTTCAGCACGGAGCCTGGTCACTCACCCACCGGCTCTCACCTGGCAGAGCTGGTCTCTCTCCCGTTGCAGGTCACTGGCCTGGCCTGGGCTGCCAGCAGGTGGCCCGTCCGTCTGGGACAAGGGGGCCTTTCCATCCCTCAGTGTCTCTGCCAGGAAGTCATGGACATTGCATGTATGGACTGCCCAGCCTCAGCCGGGACTCTACACACGGCACTTCATAAACCCTTCATCCCTGCCCGGAAGGGGAGTCCCCTGCCTGCCTTCCACATGCAGGCTCAGAGAGCTTCAGGCACTTCCCTGAGATCACACAGCACACACAGAGCAGGGGCCAGACCAGAACATAGGTCTGACTCAGTGAGTGCTGGGGAGGACCGAGGGGGTGGCAGAGATACCTGACAACCTCTCCTGTAGGGTCCGCACGTCCTTCCGTAGCTGCTCCAGCTCCTGGTGGTCTGAGGGGGTCAGCTGGACCTCTGGCCGGGCGGGGAGAGGGCACCACAGATGGTAAGCTGTCCCTGCGGCGGTGGCCTCCCAGTCAGACCCACTCGGCCCTACCCAGCCTGGCCGACTCCCCGCCATACCAGAGAGCTTCCGGGTCAGCTCTGCCTTCTCTTGCTCTAGACACGTGAGCTTCTGCTCCCAGGCAGCCAGCCGTTCCATGCTGCCCTCAGGACGGGGGCTGGGGCCAGGAGAGAGCAGGGGCCTTGCAAGCTGGCAAAAATCCACTCCCTAAAGACGCTTCCGTCCTCTTGCAGCCAATCATTCATTCAACCAAGAAGCACCCACTATGCGCCAGTTCCAAGCCAAGCCCAGCTCTGTGGGCTCAGGAGGAGAGCCGCCTTGACCCTCACAGTCCAGAGCCTGCAGGGGAGGCGAGGGAGCCAGAGAGGCCCCTCAGGAGATGCCCAGGCTGGTGCCAAGAGCCTGCTCAGGGCAGTGGCTCCAGGGCCTAAGTTCAAGTTCCAGCCTTGGCCTTGTGTGAGCTTGAACAGCCCCCTAATATGCCCAGTCTTAGTGTCCTGAGAGGACAACGTGACAGTGACAGCAGGGCCTGTCTCGAGGACTGTCGGGAGGAGTCACTGGTTTGGGCCCACAGTATACGTGCTTGACAAGGGCAGGCCACCCTGGGGCATGTCCCCACCAGGACCTGGATGACTGCAAGTTACCTTGGGATACATCCTCACTAGGACCCGGTCAAGTGCAGGCCACCTTGGGACCCTCCTCACTAGGACCCGGTCAAGTGCAGGCCACCCTGGGGCACATCCTCACCAGGACCCAGTCAAGTGCAGGTCACCTTGGGGAACCTCGTACCAGGATCTGGACAAGTGCAGGCCACCCTGGGGCACGTCCTCACCAGGACTCAGGCCAGTCTTACACATAAGATGGGGCAGAAGGCATCCCGCCCATTTCACAGAGATGCAGAATGAGGCTCAGGGAACAGCAGGGGCCCTTCAAACTCCAGGCCTCTGGCTCTGAGACCAGGATATGCTTGGGCTGCTGTGGAGGGTACAGTGAGAGCCAAATGCTGGGACAGGGCCCAGATGGCCCCGAGGGCTTCAGAGGTTGTCCTGCTAAGGGCTCAGGGCACAGTTCCCGAGCACCTGTCCCCGGTCAGCACAGGTGGGGTATTCAGCCTCCTTTCCCAGGGCCCGGCGGGCTCTGCTCCCAGCGCCTTCCAGGCCAGGCAGCTCCAGCTTCCCACCAGGTGGGACTCAACTCCAGAGAGTGAAGCCAGACTCACCTGGTGGAGGTGAAGGTGAAGCCCACGAACGGCAGGTGGTGGCCCGAGAAGGTCCCGTGGGAGGGTGGTGGCAGGGTGCCCTGCAGGAGGAGAGAGTCAGGGTCTACAGGTGTGGCTCCAGGCTGAGGCTCCAGAACCAGGATGCCCCCCGGGACTGGGCCAGACCACCTCACCCTGCTCAGGCGCTCAGCCGAGGGAATAACTAACAAAGCAGACCACAACCATGAGTCCTTGAGGTTGTGGCCTCCCAAGGGTTGCTGGGAGTTCTCTTCGTTTTCTAAATTCTGGCTGCCAGCATGACATGTAGAGTCAAAGAGGCTTTACTTGGCACAATCCGCCTCAGGGCAGCTCAGCCCCAGGTGAGCCCTGGGGTTCACAGGCCTCCCCCCCCCCCGCCCGGTGGCCACTCTGGGGAACTTCTGGGGGGCTCGCTGGGCCTGCGAGGGTCACAGCAGTTCTCCTCCCTCAGCAGGCCCGCCACTCACTGGGTGGTTGAGGGTGTCATCATCCACATCGAAGTTGGAGGTATCCACGGGCCCGCGGAGCTCAGGGATGTAGGGGGCGGTGCTGGTCGCCAGTCGCTCCCAGTCCACACCTTCGAAGAAGGGGTGCTTGCGGAAGTCGTCTAGCCCGCCGCGTCCCAGGCGCTCCTCCTGGCGGCACAGCAGCTGGCGGATCAGGTCTTGGGCACTGGCCGGCACGTCAGGCACATCTGGGGGGAACTGCAGGTGGTCCTGTGGGCAGCCGGGGACAGGTGCGTGGGTCCAGGGTCCCACCTTTCCTGGTAGGTGTCTCTGACCACGTGGAGTCAGGAAGCCCATCCCGCGGCCCTCCCCAGAACCCCCGAGCCTAGTGGCCAGACCTCATGGCTCATGATCTTGCCATAAGTTTCCACCAGGGACTCTGCGTAGAAGGGTGTCTCCCCAAAGAGCAGCTCATAGGCGCAGACCCCCAGTGACCACCAGTCGCACTGCGGGCCGTAGTGGCCCTTGCCCTCCTCCATGGCTTGTAGGATCTCAGGGGAGATGTAGTCCGGTGTCCCTACCGCCACTGTGGAGTCCACCTGTGGGTGGTGGTGCTGACGTCATGAGGACAGCCTCCAGCTCGGCTGGGCCTGCTGGCTCCTCCCTACAGCCCTGGGCCTGGCACCCCACACCCTCAGGGCTCGGCTGGCCTGGTGCCCACCACTGGGGACCTGGGCCTAGTCCTTTGTTCCCCTGAAGCCCCTCACTGGGCCTGGTGCCTCCCTTCCCTGGGAAGCTCCCACTTGGGCGCAGGGCCCTCACCATGCCACTGCTGGTGAGACGGAGGCAGGAGCCAAAGTCGGCTAGGCGGATGTGTCCATTCATGTCTAGCAGGACATTGTCTGGCTTGACATCCCTGGGGAAGGCAGGAGGTCAGGGTGTGTGCACATGGGTGTTCAGCACATACCCAGGAGCACATGCATGGCTACGTGCATATACCAGCAAGTGTATGCTCACCCACGTTCCCATGTGCACGAGAGCAAGGTGTGTGCACGTGGGAGGGAGAGGAGCCTGGTGGCTAGGCCTCTTGGCTCCCAAGGAGGACAAGGATGGCCCGATTGGGGAAAGGGAGCCATGAAGTGGACCCTTGGAGGCAGCAGAGTGATGTGGGGATGCAGGGGCCAAACATCCCCACCACACATCACGGTGCAGCCACCCACCAGCTGAGCCACTCAAGCCAGGGGCTGACCTGTGCTGAGTTCTGACTTCGTCACCTGTACAATAGGGACAACAGTCGGCACCGTCGTGTATTTTTGGAACGAGGACTAAAAGGAACCCGTGTGGGGTGCTGGGGGCATGCTTGATAGACGTCAGCCACCCCCCAGAGTGATCAGTGGGGGCTGGGCTGGGCAGTGGGGGCTTTGGGGCCCCACCTGTGGACATAGCCGAGTTGGTGCAGTGAATGGATAGCCAGCACCATCTCAGCCAAGTAGAACTGGGCCAGCTCAGGCGGGAGGCGGTCCTCGAAGCGGCTCAGCAGTGTGAGGAGGTCCCCCCCGGCGTAGTAATCCATCACCAGGTACTGGCAGTGGTGGGGGGCAGAGTCAGCGTGGGGAGAGGGCCCCTCACCTGAGCCCCTGAGCCCTACCTCCTGCCCACCCCACCGCGGCCTCTGGGAAGCCTGGAGTGGTCTCTGGAAGGCGCAGTAGCTGCTGAGATGTGGAAATCGTCCTAGTAAAAGGCTCTGTCTGTCTCCTTGGACCCCGTGCCCCGGGACCCCCAGGCCATCTCCGTCTCCCGTACGCCCAGGTGACGCCCTTCCAACCCTGCCAAGCAGCCTCACCAGGTATTCCTCATCCTGGAAGGCATAGTGCAGAGCGGTCACCCAACGGCTGTCCCCCTTCACCAGGACATCTCGCTCCTCCCGGAAACAGGCCGTCTGCAGCAGGTTTGGTTTGGAGGAGGGGTGGGTGGAGTCAGAGCCCAGACCTCCCTCCGGTCAGCTCAGGACACGTGCGTCCCAGAGGCTGGACGGAGGCCATGGCCCTTCTCTGCTCCGGGCTGGCCTCGTGTGGGCCTGAGCCCTGCTTTATGGCCCTGGACCTCAGTTTAATTATAAGGGAAACGGGAGTACTTGGCTTGCTTTTAAGAGCTTGATGTGAGGAAGGGCTGGGAGGAGGTTGGCAGGTGTTGGAGACGGCATTCAGAAGTGGTGCCTGGCCCCTCCCTGGAGGCCCACCCATCCGCAAGGTGCCTAAGTCCCACCAGGCCCCAAACTGACCTCGGCCCGCTTCAGCATCTCCCATTTGTGCAGCATTTTCATGGCAAAAACCTGCCCACTGTCCCTCTGCCTCACCACGGCGACCTGTGGCCACGGAACGACAGGTCAGCCCCCGTGGGTGCCAACAGCCTCCCCCCACCCCTCACCCCCCAGCGCTCTGCTCACCTCCCCAAAGGCCCCTCGGCCGATCACCTTCAGGATCTCAAAGTCATCTCTCTGCAGCCGCAGCTCCTTCACCTTCATTACGAAGGGGCTGGCTGAGAAGGACACAGGGTGGGGCTCAGAGACCTCTGGGACGAGGAGAAAAGCCCGCGGTGGCCACTGCCTGAGGCCGGGCAGGGATGTGCTCCCGGGGAGGACTGACGGGAGGTGGAGCAGGGGCGCACAAGGTGGAGGTGCTGCCTCTGCCCACCACCTGCTTCCCCAGTCCTCCCTGATCCGTGGCTCCCAGACCCAGTCCCCAGACTCCAGGCAGCCTCCACCCCAGGGGCTGATGGGACTTGTAGTCTTCTCCAGCCTGGGGGCCTGACACTGGCCGGCCAGGTCACTCTGAGGGTGTGGGGCACCGCTGCCACCGCAGCTCACAGTGCTTGGCCCCTAGAGTGCCAGGCTGGGCCTGTCTGGGGGAACTGGATGGGTGACATTCCTTGTCCTCAGAGAGGCTTTCTCTGACAGTCCAGAGCTGTAGGCCTGGGTCCGGGGACCCTGTGGACACAGAGATACTGGGCAGCTGCCCCAGAAGGCAGGTGGGCAAATGGTCCCACCGGGCCCTGGAAAGACAGGCCCTGGACTCCCCATCTGAGGCCTCCTTGGCTAGAGGCCCCCATACCAGTCTGCCCAGGTATTCAAAAGACTCAGAAATAGGGCCAAAAAAACCTCCGCCTGGTGTGGCCACTGGCACCTGAGGCATGAGCGCGCAGGAGCCCCAGGCCCTGCCTCCTCCCTGGACTCACCTTGTACCTGGCCAAGAACCTCCCACTTCCTCACGCCTCCCACACCCTGATGGGAGGCAGCTCCTGTCCCTCCCACACCCCCAGGCCAGGAGTCGCCCCAAGCCTGGCAGAGGGAATTGGGGCTTGGAACCTCAGGGAGTGACCAGTGGGGCTTGGGGGCAGCTGAGGTCTGGCTCCCTGCCTCAGTTTCCCCCTGGCAGGAGGCAAACTCCCTGAGAGCCAGGCAGGCGTGTGGGTGGGGCAGAGAGCTGCCCCACGGGTTTATCAGGGAGAAGCTCTGTAGCAGGGCTGCAGTGGAAACCTGGTTACAGAAACGTATTGTCTCTTTCTTGGGTGCCTGTGAGGAGCTGGGGAGAAGCAGCCACAGGCCTGTAAAGGGAACTGAGCCCAGGGTAGCTGCGCCTCAGCCAGCTAGGGGGCCGAAGCCTAGGACCCCACTAAGACAGTCTAGGTCCCAGGCCAGGCTGCCCAGCCCGCGTGCCTGACCATGCCGGGGGCCCTCTGGGCAGGAGCAGGGGCAAGTTAGGGCAGGAGAGGAGTGAGTCACACCTTGTGAGTTACCTTGGGAGATGTCAACAGACAGGCCCCCACGCTGGGGTCCCAGGCAGGAGCTGCCAGAGGCGGACTGGGAGGAGCACACACGCGTGTGCAAACACACATGTCTGTGTGGGCGTCACGGGGCTGGCGACAAGGCAGTCAGACACCCACACATACACACACAGGATGGGGAGACAGGCTGGCCAGAGGCTCAGGGCCCTTGACTGCCCTCACCTGGAGGAACAGGCTGCGGCTGCGTCCAGCTTGCTAGCACACCTGGACGGCAGGCCCCCAGCAGTGCCAGGCCAGGCCCTGAGTCTGCCCAGAGCTTCAGAGTGCCAAGAACGCTAGTCGTCCGCTGGGCAAACACCCGGCTCACCCCGCCCTCCAGAGCAGGCCCCTGTGCCCTCCCCCACAGCCTGGTCGGGTGTGACCAGGGAGTCCTCAGGCTGGCGCCAGTGCCCTGAAACCCTGGGCTCAGGGTCACCCCGGGCCAGCCACTCCCGGTGACACAGATGAGTCACCAGGAAGGGGTGCAGACCCACCTCCGACCAGGGCCCCCAGCCCTCGGGAGCAGCTCTTGGGGAGCCTGGCCAGTGGCCGGCACAAAGGGGCTCAGATGGGTTCCTGTTTCCAGCCACGGGTGCTCTTATATGCAGGGAGGCAGAAGTGTGTGTGTGTGTTCATGGGTGCGTGACACCTCTGATCTGTGAGTGAAAGTAGGTGCTCAGGTGAGTGTGTACCAGAGCCAATGTGGTTGGCGTAACACGCAGGGGCCAAGTGTGGGCTCCCTAGTGCTCCCCTGGAACTGTAAGTGTCCCAGAGTGTGTGGGGAAACCCAGAGCATGTGTGTGATAAGCATGGGGTCTGTGTGTGAGTGTGTGTTTCTGTGGGTCTGTGAACTGTGAGGTTTCGGCAAGGATGGTTCTGTGCATGTTGCATACGTGGGCGGGGGGGGGGTCTGTAGGTGGGAACAGGTTTGTGTCCCTGTATGGCTCTGTGACAGCGAGGATGTTGTGTACGCAGGTGTCGCGTACAGGTGCGGGGGTCTGCGAGAATCTGAGTGAGGGTCTCTAGGCATGCCCGAGTGTAGGAGATGAGCAGATGAAGGGTAGGCCTGCGGGGTGGGCGCAGGTGTGGGAGTCAGAGCCGGCGAGCCTGCCAGGAACGCCTGCAGAGTGCGGGTCCCTGCCGGAGGCTCCGTGGGCGTGCACCGCGCGGTGGCCCGGGGTCCCGGCGCCGCGTCTCTCGGGCCGCCCTCCCGCCCCGCCCCCGCCACTCACCCCAGCTCAGGAACTGCGCGACGTGGCGCTCCCGCCGCAAGGGGGCGCTGCTGAGCTCGTGGTGCAGCCCCAGCAGCAGGTCCAGGAGGCCGTCGAGCCCCGGGCCGCCGCCGGCCTCGCCCCGCGC